CATACTTTTTAAAATGGACAGCTTAAAATTACCCAGATTTTCCTTATACACCATTCATATCCACAATTCTGACTCTAACAATTATGTTAAAGTGAATAATCACTTAACCCAGGACCCATTGAAGGCTGTTCAAGTTCTAATTTAACAAACCAATTGTGTTAAATTCAACACGAACAATCTGTAAGAGAGCGGGATCCCATACGTCCTACCTGTACAACTTAGGTTTTATTTCAAGGAATCCTGAGTATTCTGACTCAGGGTAGGATTGTTGTTAATGCTTACGCCTGCAAAGAAACTATGTCATATTGTTATGTAATATCGATTTCCTCTGCTCTACACTTTCATCTAGATTAATTCTGTGTTTCTTAAGAAAGCGGTTCTAACAAAAATGTTTTCTAACACAATTCTCTACACCTACAGAGAACACACTATCTTAAAGAAACCTTCAAACATTTTTAGCCTAGACCCGGCTCAAATTCAGAAAATCTTTGTATATCTGGTATATAATAGGGTGGCCACTCCACGGGCAGTTGGTAACTCACTTCAATTTCCTAAGCTCTTAAAACAAGGGTGTGTGTGTGGTGGGATGGGGGAGCGGGGGGCTCCATGCAAATTATGTTGACATGATTAAAATGTGCCCTTTGAAAAACCATGATACAGAGATTTATAAATATTTTAAACTTTGACCAGTTTTATTCAGTATTTACTTGTAAACTAGTCTTCATCCAACTATATAAAAATGGCATCTATTTATATTTAATAAATTGGAAGTTCTATCTTAATTTTTAAAAACAAATTTGTACAATATTAGTTTTGCAATAGAGTCCTACTGCCTCTAGTACTTGATGTTAATATGAACCTCATTACTTAATGTCTACTTATCAGTACAACCCTACTTGATTTAAATACTAGCCCAAGTCCACTTGACATTTAGTAGCAAACTTATTTTATTCAATTACCGACCTACTCTCACCCACCCCCAAGTTCAAGGGGTCATATCAACTCCTGCTTGCAAAAACATGTCTTTGAAAGTTCACATTCACTTTCACTAAAGTAAGCTTAGGCAAATTGAGGATTTTAAACTATTCCAAAAATTCAGTGAAGATCTTCAAAAATTGGTCTGTGAAACTCAAGCTCAATAACTAGTAGAATAAAATTACCAGGGAGAACTTTTTTCTTTGAAAAGCCAAACCAAAAGCCCCAACATCCCAGAGTTACGTAAAAGTAGAAAATTTAGAATTCTGTTTGATATTTAAAATATACCTTTGACTAATCCATTTTTATCATTTAAAATGGGGTCAAATACAATATATTCTGGTAAATATACTTTAGTTTCTTATAAGGCCAGTGCAAGAAAAGGGAGACAGAAGGCTCATAAATGAGTAATTAAACTTCTTTAGTAACACCCAGAAGTTCACAAGTTACCGCAGCCTCGATTAGCTTAACTGAAGTACAAGTCAACAGGTCTCATCAAAGAGTTGTAAAAAAGGTGGGCACAGTATCACCTTTCTCCAAATTTTTCTTGGGCTTTCACTAAGAAGGGCAAGATAAAACCTTATCATCAAACTTTCAAAACATCCTTAAACTTGAAGGCAAGTTACAAACGTTTAAGCTTCCAGGCAATCTTTTGAGGGCAGCCAACTCACACAAAACAGCAATCAACTCCATTTTTTAAGGACAGACTTTGTAAATCATTAGAATCTTTTTAAAACCAAAAGTAACAGATTTTATGGATTCCCAGTGTCACCTCTGAAACTACTATCACCATCCCCCCATATCATTAGAATTCCAAAAAGCCTAACAGTCGTTTTTAGTTTGCTGAATGCTAAAAAAGTAAGGCGGTAGGGAGAAATTTGCTTTGGGACATTAAAAGAAAATATAATCCAGTCCATGGACCGGACTTGTTCGACTGTTAAGAGTATTACAAGGCTTCCAGGGTTGTTCTTTATTCTAGATAGATCCACACACGAGTCCTCAAAGGCTTGACTGAAGCTGGGGTATTCTAATCGTCCAACACTAACAACAGACATTAGGAAACAAAAACGCGCGCGCCCTTTAGGCATCTGATTTCTACTCGCTATAGTGTTGAAGTGTCAGCTGTCTCAAAGTAGTGGAGAAAAGTAAATCTATTTCTACGGTATTTGTGGTTCAAGTTCCCCTACGTTCGCCTCTCAATCTGATACTACCCGATCCTCCCTAAGAGTTTACAACCAGAAACCCCTTGCAAGATGATTAGAAGGCCGAAAAAAAGGGCTCGCCAATTTTTGTAAAAAAGAAAGTGGCGAGCGCCCCTGAGTGAGAAGAGCCCTGCAGCCCCAGGCCTACCTCCGCCCGCGGCGCGGCGGGCGCCCACTCCGCAGGCTGCGAGGCAA